TATATTGTGATACTAGTTACTTTATTATTGTGCTACTAGTTACTTTATTATTGTGCTACTATTACTTATTATTGGTACTAGTTACTTTATTATTGTGGCTACTAGTTACTTTATTATTGTGATACTAGTTACTTTATTATTGTGGCTACTAGTACTTATTATTGGCTACTGTTTACTTTAGTTATTGTGGCTACTAGTTACTTTATTATTTGTGACTACTAGTTACTTTATTATTGTGGCTACTAGTTACTTTATTATTGTGACTACTAGTTACTTTATTATTTGGACTACTAGTTACTTTATTATTGTGACTACTATTCTTTATTTTATGTGGCTACTAGTTACTTTATTATTGTGGCTACTAGTTACTTTATTATTGTGACTACTAGTTACTTTATTATTGTGCTACTAGTTACTTTATTATTTGTGGACTCAGTTACTTTATTATTGTGACTACTAGTTACTTTATTATTGTGGCTACTAGTTACTTTATTATTGTGGCTATATTACTTATTGTTGTACTACTAGTATTTATTATTGTGGCTACTAGTTACTTTATTATTGTGACTACTAGTTACTTTATAGTTGTGGCTAGTAGTTACTTTATTATTGTGGACATACTAGTTACTTTATTATTGTGACTTACTAGGTTTTATATGTGACTACTAGTTACTTTACTATTGTGACTACTAGATTACTTTAATTATTGTGGTACTAGTTACTTTATTAATTGTGACTACTAGTTACTATTATATGTGACTGTACTTTATTATTGGTACTATTACTGTATTATGTGTTGACTATTAGTATTATTGATTGTGACTACTAGTTACTTATTATTGTGGACTACTATTACTTATTATTATTTGTGGCTACTAGCTTACTTGTATATAATGTGGCTACTTGTTATAGCTATTACTTATTGTGGTACTAGTACTATATTGTGTACTATTTTATTATGTACTTGGTACTATTTACTCTTATTAGTTGTGACTGACTAGTTACTTGGGACTATTTGTGGCTACTAGTTACTTTATTATGTGGTACTAGTTACTTGTATTAGTATGTGGTATTAGTTTATATTGTGGCTACTAGTTACTTGTATATATATGTGGCTACTAGTTACTTTAGGTATTGTACTAGCTAGTTACTTGGGTATTTTGTGGCTACTAGTACTTTAGTTATTGTGTACTGTTATTAGGGTACAGTACTGTGTACTAGTTATCTGTGGTTAGTTATGTTATAGTTATGTGGGTACTAGTTACTGTGTATATTTTGAGCTACTAGTTACTGTGGTATAGTATATGTGGTACTAGTTATGTGGGTACTAGTTACTGTGGCTACTAGTTACTTGTATATATTGTGGCTCTGAGTTACTATTATTATTGTAGCGCTACTAGTTACTGTATTAATGTGAGCCCATTGGACTTGGATTAAAATATCATTACATTGTGATACAGTTACTGTACTAATTACGTTATTTTGCTATATTACTACTATTATTGGTACTAGTTGCTGACATGTTATTGTGGATACTATTACTCGTGTAGCTATTGGTACAATTTTATGGGGTACTAGTTACTGTGACTAGTGATGTTACTACATTGAGGTATAGTAGTTACTGTGGCTACTAGTTACTGAATAGTTATTTGGAGTACTAGTTATTGTGGTTACTAGTTTTGTGGGCTAGTTATGTATTGGGTATATTTGTGAGTACTAAATTACTTTGGTACTATTTACTGTGGCTACTTGTTACTTACGTTGGATACTATTAATATGGACTTAGTGAACATTACTGTTACTAGTTAGTTATTAGTTACTAGTACTAGTTACTGTTCAGTTAGTAGCTACTGTTACTGGTAGCTATTATGTGGTACTATTAGTGGGTCTTAATCAATTATACTGGCAGTGTTCACTTTGGACTAGTAATTGGGTAGCTATTACAGTGTCTACTAGTTCATTGTGGATACGAATTACTGTTTGGACTAGTTTACATGTTATTGGGTTTTTTACTAGTGGTATAGTTATTATCTAATTACGTACTAGTATATTGGTGTATTAGGTGACATATTCACTGGGTACATAGATCTGGTTCATGGTTCGGTGATACTAGATCACGTACTATTATGTGCAACGATTTACTGAATTAGTTATGTTATGAGTTGTTACTAGTTACAGCACTAGTTGATGGTCTATTGATTTACTGTATTTTGTATGTGGAAGGTACTTGGCCTGCTAGTTCAAACTTAATCTTGTATACAGTAGCATTACTAGTTACATTAAACAATACTTGGTATATTTAATCATAACTTGTTACTGTGCACATAGTTACTGTGTAATAGACTGTTATTTCTTATATGTACTAATTTACTGTGGCAGTAGTTTACTTTGGGTTAACTGTTACTGTGTGTACTAGTTAACTTGGGTAGCAACTACTTGGTATGGGTACATAGTTAATGTGGCTACTAGCTACTGTGGAGTATAGTTACATGGCACTAGTTACTGTTGGTACTAGTCATGTGAGTACTAGTCAGTTAGTGGTAGTAGTTACTGTGGCATGTAGCTACTGTAGGTACAGTTACTGTGGGTAACTAGATTACTGTGGTACTAGTTATGTTATAGTCTAGTTACTGTGGATAGTAGTAACTGTGGTAACTAGTTACTGTGGGACGTTACTGTGGTACTAGTTACTGTGGGTACTAGTTACGTGGGTACATTATCGGATATTAAGATACTGTGACAATTTGGTATATGATTTATGATATTTTAAGAACTTGTGTAAGAGTTTGGTACAACATTTGTATCGGGGAATATTGAGTGATAGTGTGATCATCATGTGAGTGCTAATATAAACTACATCAAGAGGGTTGTTGTTCATGCATTAGGCATTTGTCTAAGTAGAGATAGTCAGATTTAGGAGATGATTGTTTTGTTTTTTTGTTTTTACTTATTTTTGAAGCAGGTGGCTGAAGGGGAGCTTTTTGCATCTTCTGGAAGTTCCAAACTTTAGTATACTTTATTTACATGGAGATCTTTATAGTCTGACAGTTAGCAGTTTGAGAACATTAATACGAAAAGAACTTAAGCTGAATTCATTGTCTTCAGAGTGAGGGAGAATGACACCAGTCAGTCCACCTGTCATAGTTCTGTCATGCAGGAAGAGCCACATGTTTATGGTGCATTCAATAATGTCAGCGTAGTCTTGGATGTTGCTGCCGCCCGGCTCCTGCTAGGCTACAAGTATCTCTGGCAGGTTGCTTCACCTGATGTAGACTAAGTATAAATTTTGCCATATGGACAGTTGTCATACCTTGCGTCATGTGCTGGAATACGATCAAATTAATGAATTTAGAGACGACTCACTCACAAATGTTCAAGAAATTTCAAGGTATTTTATCCACAGTGGCATATTACCATCCGTTCTGGAAAAATACCCTGGAGTATACCTGGAGAGTGTTCCAGGGGTCAACGTCCCCTCGGCCCGGTCCATGATCAGGCCTGGAGGTGGATGAGGACCTGATCAACCAGGCTCTTACTGCCTGCCACACGCAAACCGACGTACGAAAAATAGTCCGGCTGGTCAGGTACTGAGTTTAGTTGCCTGTTCAGCTCGAAGACAGCCAGGAGTCTATTGATAATCTCCCTTTTGTATGCTGGGAGGCAATCTTGGACCCCTGACTGTTCAAGACTTTGCCTGTTGTAATCAACACAAGCAATTAAGCTTGCATAATTTCAAACATATCTTGCTAAAATATAAGGTAATATAAATAATTCAGAACCACCTATAAGCTACAGTGTAATAATTTTGTGACTTTATTCATGTCTGCATAAATAACTCATTACATTTGTTACCAGATATAAATAATTCACCAATGTTACTTGTTTACCCATTGAAACTTTGCGACACCAGTCCCTGGACCCATTATGTGGATGGGTGTGTGGTACTTAGTAAAGATATTAAACTATCAAAGGTACTTATTTCTTGTATTGTGTGAGTGTTCTGTTGCAGGTCTCCAGGAAGAGTCAGAGCGAGGGCTAAAGTTAGTTCTGAGTGTCTTGTATATATAAAATGGACAGTAGTAAGTGTGGATGTGTTGTACATTCAATAAATTTGAGACTTTTGAGTAGTGAGGGTGTGTGTGTGTGTTGCCTGGAACCTGATTGAGTTATTATTCTCGCGATGATTGCTGTTGGGTACCTGGAAAGGGTTTCAGGGGTCAACGCCCCTGCGGCCCGGTCTGTGACCAGGCCTCATGATGGATCAGGGCCTGGTCAGTCAGGCTGTTACTGTTGGCCGCACACAACCCGACGTACGTACCACAGCCTGGCTGGTCAGGTACTGGCTTTAGGTGCCTGTCCAGTGCTTTCTTGAAGACAGCCAGGGGTCTATTGGTGATCCCCCCTTATGTATGCTGGGAGGCAGTTGAACAGTCTTGGGCCCCTGATACTTATTGTGATGTCTCTTATCGTACTAGTGGCGCCCCTGCTAATCCCTCTAGGATTTTCCAAGTGTATATAATCATGTATCTCTGTGAGTTTTAGGGAATTTTACGAGATTTACTGAGGTAGATCCCCAAGCACAAATACCGTGACATAGAGATATATTAAAGAGCAGTACAAAGTGAGTAATGTTGTTTGGTGAACAAAATAGCGCATTTTTTATAGAATTACCATAGTTTCGCAAATTTTCATAAAAATTTGTTCGATTCAATTAACTCTTACCGTGACTTTAACTTTATTATCACCTATTTGCACTGAATGACCCACACGGGATTAACGTCTTCCAATAATAATAATTATAATAATAAAGTGGTAATATTTTTTTGCTCTGTCGTCTCCCGTCAAGGCAGGGTGACCCAAAGAAAAAAACATATTCTCCGTCATTCAGATTACCCTCCAACTTCAGCATCTCCATTCCCTCCTACAGAGTGCAAGTGCTGCCCGTTCCGCCTCCAATTTCTACTTCATTTCTGTTCTAATTTGACCTCTGTCCTCGCCAGTGACGTCGGAGGAGGTAACATCAGAGAGAAACCTCCCAGGTTCCTCTATAGACTTCAAGAACCCGCTGTTCGTGGATCAAGTCCCTGTTGTTTCTGCTACTCCAACTGCTTCTGCTGGTGGAGGGGAGCACCTCACCGTCACCCTGAAGCCCAAATCCTTCACACTGACGCCCATTCTCCCTCGTCTTGCTACCAATAACCCCTCGTCTTCGTTCTTCTTCGAACAGCAGCAGGAGGAGGGGGAGGAAGAGGAGGAAGAGGAGAAAGAGGTAGTGGTGACTGGTGATAGCGAGACCAGAGATTACCGGTGGCTTGTCTACGTATCTCCCTGTTCAGTGACCTGTGGTACTGGTGAGTAGTACTGGGGGTTCTCAGATGATGAATGAATGGTGTCTGGCTCTGCTCGTGTTCCTCTTAGAGAAATCTCTCTCTCTCTCTCTCTCTCTCTCTCTCTCTCTCTCTCTCTTCTCTCTCTCCTTCTCTCTCTCTCTCTCTCTCTCTCTCTCTCTCTCTCCTCACTCTCTCTCACTCTCTCTCTCTCTCTCTCTCTCTCACACACACACACACACATGTGCCTGGGGCAAAATGGTAACTAACACGGGTATGCAGATAAAGATGAAGATTTTTGTATGAAACTTGTTAATTAACTGTCTACCAAATAAATAATTATAGGAATATTAATAAATGACGTAATTTTGTTCCATTCTTGTACCATCATGTGTTCCACTTCAAGTACCAGAAAAAACGATGTTCTCCAGTCATGTCAGTGACACTCCAAGTTCCACTCATGTCCTGTACATTGAATGTTCCACTTCTGTACCATGACACTGATGTTCCACTTCTGTTACGTGTACTAAGTGTTCCACTCTGTACCATGCATTGAGTCCATCTGTACCAGAGCACTGATTCACCTTCTGTACAGTTGACACTGATGTCCACTTCTGTACCATGAACCTGTGTTCACGTCTGATCAAGGATACTGTTGTTCGCTACTTCTGTAATGACACTGTGTTCCCGGCTGGAGTGAATGATGTTCCACTCTGTACGTACCTGAATGTTCCCATCAGTATCGTAACTGAGTCCCATTCTCCTCGTCAGTGATACTGATGTTCCCTTCTGTTCGTGATACTGTGTTCACTTCGACAGTGATACTGATGTCCAGCTCTTACAGTGTAGATAGTTCACTTTGTACAGATACTGATGGTCACTTCGATACGTGACACTGATGTTCCACTCGTGGACATTGACACTGATTTCCCTTCTGTCAGTGACCTGAGTTCCACTTCGTACAGTGATCTGTGGTTCCATCTGTACAGTGATACTGATGTTCATGTCTGTACAGTGTACTGATGTTCCACTCTGTACAGTGATACGATTTCCACTTCTTCAGTGATACTGTGTTCCACTTCTCGTACATGTCTGCTTCCCTTCTGTACAGTGATACTGATGTCACTTCTGTACTGACACTGTGTTCCACTCTGTCTATACTGATGTTCCACTTCTGTACAGTACACTGTGTTCCACTTCTTCGTATACTGAGTTCCTACTCTCTGTCAGTGATCTGTGTTCCACTTCTGTACGTGTACTGATTTCCACTTCTGTACAGTGATACGATGTTCCACTCTGTACAGTGACACACGATGTTCCACTTCTGTACAGTGATACTGATGTCCACTTTGCACGGTGAGCTGATGTTACCAATCTGTACAGTGACACTTGTTGTTCCACTTCTGTAATTACACTGAGTTCCACTCTGACAGTGATACGATTCCATTCTGTACAGTGACATGATTTCCACTATGTACGTGATACTTGTTCCACTTCTGTACAGTGACACTGATGTTCCACTTCTGTACAGTGACTACTGATGTTCCACTTCTGTACAGTGAACTGATGTTCCACTTCTGTACAGTGATACTGATGTTCCACTTCTGTACAGTGACACTGATGTTCCACTTCTGTACAGTGATACTGATGTTCCACTTCTGTACAGTGATACTGATGTTCCACTTCTGTACAGTGATACTGATGTTCCACTTCTGTACAGTGACTACTGATGTTCCACTTTCTGTACAGTGATACTGATGTTCCACTTCTGTACAGTGATACTGATGTTCCACTTCTGTACAGTGATACTGATGTTCCACTTCTGTACAGTGATACTGATGTTCCACTTCTGTACAGTGATACTGATGTTCCACTTCTGTACAGTGATACTGATGTTCCACTTCTGTACAGTGATACTGATGTTCCACTTCTGTACAGTGACACTGATGTTCCACTTCTGTACAGTGACACTGATGTTCCACTTCTGTACAGTGATACTGATGTTCCACTTCTGTACAGTGATCCTGATGTTCCACTTCTGTACAGTGATACTGATGTTCCACTTCTGTACAGTGATACTGATGTTCCACTTCTGTACAGTGATACTGATGTTCCACTTCTGTACAGTGAACTGATGTTCCACTTCTGTACAGTGACACTGATGTTCCACTTCTGTACAGTGATACTGATGTTCCACTTCTGTACAGTGATACTGATGTTCCACTTCTGTACAGTGATACTGATGTTCCACTTCTGTACAGTGACACTGATGTTCCACTTCTGTACAGTGACACTGATGTTCCACTTCTGTACAGTGATACTGATGTTCCACTTCTGTACAGTGATCCTGATGTTCCACTTCTGTACAGTGATACTGATGTTCCACTTCTGTACAGTGACACTGATGTTCCACTTCTGTACAGTGATACTGATGTTCCACTTCTGTACAGTGATACCGGTTAAAGTGGTCAACCTATATGACAGTTTTAAATTGTTTAGGTCATCACCTTAATATTTTGCTTTTCCACTCAAAATTAACATTTTTATTCTTTACGCCAGTAGGAAGGTAGAATGTCAGCACAAAAGTTGACACACAAACACCGTAACTTCATCGCACTTTGAAAATAAACGACTTGTTTTTTTTTTTTTTTTTTTTTTTTTTTTTTTTTTTTTTTTTTTTTTTTTTTAATAAATTCTTGCTGTTCTATTATGAGTGCGTGTATATTAAGCCTGCTATACTCTGAAATTTCTATGACTCGTTTCAGTTTTCACTGCTGATATTACAAGCTTCACTTCTCCACACTCTCCATCAAGTTCCTAAATATTCACTTCTTGTTGACCATAATGTGCTCAACTTGAACCACTCTGTTGTATACTAGGCACATATAATACAGCTCATGGTGAACCAAACATTTCTTATTTAAAGGCTGCTAACGTTGCAAGTGAGTTTTATACATTTGACGATGTTAATAATCCTGTGAGTCGAATTAGGTAATAGTCATGGATAAAATATACAGAACTTAAAAAAGACTTCTGACTTTTGTGACCTAAATTTACGACCGCCTCATTGAGGTGTCTCTTCTATCATCTATATTTTTCTCTTTCCCCTGACACAGGATCTTATACTCAGTTATATATTCGTTAATTCCACTTTAATAATTTTCCCTTAAATTTCCTTCCTAAGTATTCGGGCAGTATAGCTGTATTTAGGTTCCCTTTAAATGTGGGTGCCTTGGTGCAGGTTAAGAGTTTTTGATCCAGGGAATTGGAGATAATCTCCATTTCCTTGGATCATATTTGAATGGCTCCCACTCGCCAAGATCTGTACTATGTGTGTGTAGAGCTTCTCCTGGAAAATATTATCAACTTTTTAATTGTGATATTTCAGGCTTGAAGGAGGTGGTGTTGCTGTGTGTTCCGGCCGGAAGTGAGACACAGGAGGCTGTGGAGGCGTCACTGTGTGTACGGGACCAGCAACCTCCAGTCACACAAGGCTTCAGCAAGTGTCACACGACACGTGTGTGTCCCACACCCTCCACACACACACCTGTAAACCAAACCACTGTCCTTGGCTGGTGGCTCTTCGGGCTGCTGAATAACATCCGTCAGGGTGGTAGGACTAGTTCCAATAGTAGCGGTACTTATACCAGTAATAGTAGCAATAATAGTAGTAGTTACAGTAGAAATAGTGGTATGTTTGGTAGTAGTGAAGACGGTAACTCCTAGTTTTGGTTGGTGTTTACGTGCGTTTGTGGACATTTTGACGAGGTTGCCTTGCGTCGCTACGCTAGTGTTTTGGTCATTTCTGAAAGTGGAACTAGCTGTTGTGTATATATATTTATATATTATATATATTATAATAATATATTATATATATATTATATATATTATATATATATTATAATATATATATATAGTATATGTTACACACACACACACTTCAGAATACTTTATATAGCACCTAGATGCAACTCATCATCAGTGCCTATGTGAAATTCACTCCTGGTAAAACAAAGTGAACTATACCTGTAAAATGTTGCATCAAGGGTGGTAGGTGACTGATGGGGACTGAACTACAAAGAAAGTATGCGAAAACTAGGCTTTATCCCACTGCAATAATGAAGTTTTAAGCGTGAAAGCTGAACTTAAGGACTTCAGGGTGCTAGAACGGTGTGCTAGATTGCACCTCTGTCCTCCAGTGACTTGCGCAGACCTCCATGGATGTCCGAGTAGCAAGGGCAGCCAACCATTAGTTTCAGAATGATGCTTTTTGCACCACTGGACATCCTAGTGAATACCTTTCCAAATCTTTTGTAGTAAATTTTTTTGCAGTATTTGTAGTTTTCATTATATATCCTTTTTAATATAATATATATATATAATATATATATATATATATAATATATATATATATATATATATATATATAATATATATATATTACAGGTCGGCCGTTTCCCACAGAGGCAGGGTGACCCAACAATAAAGAAAAAACTCTTATCATCATTCAACACTTTCACCATCACTCATACATAATCACTGTCTTTGCAGAGGCGCTCACATACGACAGCTTAGATGTCCCTCCAAACTGCCAATACCCTAAACTTATCCTTTAAAATGCAGGCATTGTACTTCCCATTTCCAGGACTCTAAGTCCCGCTAATCGGTTTCCCTGAATCCCTTCACAAAATATTACCCTGCTCAAACTCCAACAGCTCGTCAGGTCCCAAAAACCATTCGTCTCCATTCACTCCTAACATGCTCACGCACGCTTGCTGAAAGTCCAAGCCCCTCGCCCACAAAACTTCCTTTACCCCCTTTTCCCCCCCAAACCCCCTTTTGGGGAAAGACCCCTACCCCGCCTTCCTTTCCCTACAGATTTATACCCTTTTCCAAGTCATTCCCGTTTGTTATATTCTTTCTAAAGACCCAAACCCCCTCAACAACCCCCCCTTCAGCCCTCTGACTTTCTTTTAGTTAAACCCCCACCACCTCCAAAAACCTCCTTTAAATTTTCCCACTACTTTAAATTTTCCGCATAATGTTTTTCACCGCCCCATTTTTCCTTAGACAGGACATCACAGCCCACAGCCCCCTCCCCGCTGCAGCATTTTTCAAACCCATGTTTTTACACCCCTATAAGAGAGTTTTGGTACCAAAAGTATTTATAAAAAATTTATATATAATATATATTTTTATTTTTATATATATTTTATTATGTTAACTCCCTTTGGGGAAACCCCCACAGTTGGTTTCCCTTTGGGATTTTAAAAAACTTCAAAACCCTTTTTTTAATATAAAGAAAAAAATTATCAAAATTTAAAAAAAGCTTTTAATTTTTTAAAAAAACGAGATTTACAATGAGTCTTGTGCAAAATAGTTTAAGAGAGGAAACAGAAAAAGAATCAATATTAGTTTAAACCCCCGGGTAAAATTTTAAAAGAAAAATTGGTTGACAGAAAATGGAAAAAATTTGCTATAGTCCTTTTATTTTTTTTTCCCAAAAAAAATTTATTAATTGTTTTTAAGATTGAAAACGTGAGTTAGGCCCCACTTGGAAAGGGGTTTTCTTTGGGGAATTACCCGAATGAAAAATTTTTTTTTTGGTTTGAATAATTTGGGGGAAATTTGATCTGGCTTATATATATATTTTTATATATATTTTATAATATATTATATATATATATATAATATTTGTGTGTGTTTTGTGGGGTTGTGTGTGTTGTGGTGTGTGTTGTGGTGTGTTGTAGTGGGGTGTGTGTGTGTGTGGGTGTGTGTGTGTTTGTGTGTTTTGTGTGTGTGTGTGTGTTGGGTTTTGTGTATGTGTTTTGTGTGGGTGTTTTTGTGTTTTTGTGTTCAAAAAAGATATCCGTAAACAGGGGATTTCCCGAAATATGCAAAACAACCATGTGAAAGGGAAAAGAAAAAATTCCAAGCGCTTTCGTGAATACCTTGTAATAGTGGAAATAGTCACGGAAAGGGACTGGAAATTTCCAATTTTTTTCCCAATTTTTGTTTTTTCCCAATTAAAATAAAATTTTTTTAAATAAATAATTATAAATATTTATATATAAATAATAAATTTATATATAAAATATATATTTTATAATTTTTAAAATTTATATTATATATATAAAAATTATTTTATTTTTGTATATTTTCGTGGCCCTAAAAAAGACCCGAAAAAATTGCTATCTTGGGCCCCTTTAAAAGCAAAAGTTCCTTTTTTTCCATTTAGGACAAAGGGGAAAAAATTTTTGGGGATGCAATTTTTTTCGCCAAAATTTTTTTGAAAAATCCAATTTAAGAAAAAAAAAAATTTTTTACTGTGGGTTTTTTTAGTTTTATTAAAATTTTTGGGAAAAAAATTAAAATATTATTTAGTTGGGTTAGGGTAAAATAAATTTTTTTGTTTTTAATAAGGGTTTTTGTAAGTTTTCCCAAAGATTCTTTTTGGGGGCAAAAATTAAAAAAATTTTTTAATTAACATTAATGAAAAAAATATGTTTTTTAAAAAGTTTTAATGAGGGAAAAATTTTTTGAAAGGAATCAATTTTAAATGGTTCTTGCTTTAAATTTTTCCGTTTTACATATTCGGCCCCGACAATATATAAAATATATAAAAATATAAATAAAATATATATTTATTATAAAATATTAAAAATAATTATATATAATTTTAATTAAAATTTTATATATTTTTATATATATATAATAATGTACGTTTAGAAAGCACCCAAAAAAATTTTTAAAAATTTGGGGAAAATAATTTTGCTGAGTTTTTATTTATTTTAAATTTTGTAAATTTTAAAAAACACCCAGCGGTAAAACTATATTTTTTTCAAAAATGGACAAAATGTTTTTAAAAGACAAAAATTAATTTTTTTTTTTTTGAGAGTATCTACTTTTAAAAGGTTTATAGGCATATTTTTAGAGCAATTTTAAACATTCCAACCCTTTAAACAGGGAAAACAAAAAGGAAAGGGGTTTTTTAAGCCCGGAAATGAAAAGGAAAACCCGTAATAAGGCAGAAATCCCCGGGGGGTTTGGGAAAATTTTTTTTTAATATTACAAAAAAATAGACGATCCTGGCCCAAGACGGGGGTCCCGGGGGAAAAAATTTTGGGAAAAAAATCGGAAAATAACAAAGGGGAAATCAGCACCACCTAAAAAAGAATATTAAGGGTTTGTGATAGACAAATGAGGTGCCGAAAATCGCCTTTCCCGGGCGCGGTGCATTTGTATTAGATATAAATGGTATTTTTTAATTTTAGGCGGGCCTTTTAGTACCCGCCCCGCCAGACAAAAAAATATACCAGCAAAGGAAAAGGGAAGGGGAAAGGGGGGAATTTTTAGCACACTGTAGTAGCCCGGGTGTTTTTTGGTTTGGGTTTTTTTTTCGGAAAAGGTGAGTTTTCTTTTTACAAGGGGGTTTTAAACAGATTTTGATCCCTTTAAAAGGGGTTTTTAACCCTCCCCTGGTGCCAGAGATAATTTTGGGACCATTTCCCCTTTTTCCGTGTTTTAAAAAGGGGGCCTTCAGGGTGGAACTTTTATTTTTTAAATTTTTTAAATCAAAAAGAAGCGCCCGGGCCCCAAGGGTTTTAAAAGCCCTTTGCGGTAGGAACTTGAGGGGTTTTCCATATTTCATCCCTTTTTGGAACACCTGGAAAGGGCCCCCGGGTTTTAAACAAAAACCTTTTTATTTTGATTTGGGTTTTAAATTTTACAAAAAATTTTTTCTATATATGTATACCCACAATATTATTACCCTTTTAAAAACCCTTGTTGTAGTTAAAATTTTTTTTTTTAAAGATGGTTTTTTTTAAAATTTTTTAAAAAACTTGATAAATTTAGCCCGCTGGCGGAGTTAATTGTTAAGTTGGTTTGGGGGTTTTTTTTTTAAGGGGGGTTTAATTTAATTTAAAGGGTTTTTTGTTTAAATTTAGTTGTTTTTGTTTAGTTTGGTTTTTTTTTTTTTTTTTTTTTTTTTTTTTTTTTTTTTAAAATTTTTTTTTTTTTTTTTTTTTTTTAAGTTTGGGAAGTTTTCTTTTTTTTTTTCGTGGGTTTAAAATTTATTTAAAACTAGTTGGGAGAAAGCCCAAAGCAGACGATAAATTTTGGGGGTTTTTGGGGGAAAAAAAAAAAAAAATAAGAATAATAAAAAAAGGGTAAAACAATCGAAACCCCGGGCCCAGGTTTTTTTAACGCAGAACCTAGGTGGGGGGTTTCGGGTTTTTTTTTTTTTTTGGGGGGCGGAAAAGAGGGGAAAGGGGGCATATTCTAAGTTTTTTTTCATACAGTTACATAAAAAAATTTTCTGCCCTTGGGAAACCCATTAAAGATGGTTTAGAATTACCGACAAAATTTTTAGGTAAAAGGGTAAGAAAGCAAATAATTTTGAAAATTTTTTATGGCAAACGTTTTATCCCAGGAATTTTTTTTTAAGCCGCCCCTCTGGAACAAATTGACAAAACCCAGGAAACGAACAAAAAATTTTCCCAATTTAAAATGTTTTTATTAGTTGCATCTGTGTTAATTTCTAACAACCAAATTTATGTTAGAGAATTTGCATTTTACCTAATATTTTTCCGAAAAAAAATTAAATTTACCCCCCCCCCCCCCCCCCCCCCCCCCCCCCCCAAAAAAAAAAATTCCCCCTTTCCCCCCCCCTTTTCCCCCCCCCCCCCCCCCCCAAACCCCCCTTTTCCCAAAAAAAACCCCCCCCCCCCCCATAAATTTCCCCCCCCAAAACCCCCCCTTTTCAAAAAAAACACCCCCCCCCCCTTCCCTTTTTAAATTAAAAAATTTAAATTCCCCCCCCCAACCCCCCCCCCTTCCCAAAAAAAAAAAAAAAAATTTCCTTTTTGACCGAAAAAAAAACATTAAAAAATTTAAATTAAAAAGGAAAAAAAAAGTTTAGTGGGGGCCCAGCTTGGTTGAAATTTAACCCAAGGGGAGGGGGAAAAAAAGATTATTTCCCGGTTCCTTTTAACCCTTTTTAGGAGGTTGGGAAACCGTGTTGGTTTTATTGCAATTTAATTTTTGACGAAAAAAAAAATTTTTTTTAAAGCCCCTTTGTAAAAGGTTTTTTTTAATAAAAAACCTTT